TCTTACTTCAGCCATGGTGAGTCAGTAGACCCTCTCCAGTGGGCCTTCTTACTTCAGCCATGGTCAGCACAGGTCAGCTGGATTTAGTCTGGAACCATGTAATTTAACTCCTGTTTCTGCCAAATCACCTCTGTGGTAGATGCCATTTAATGAATTCATATTAGTCAAGCATGTTTACGAGCTGCACTAGCCCGTTCAGGCATCATGTCATCATGTGACTCCGTGTAAACTCTGACCAGGTAAACCTTTTATCACTGCAGGGTTTGATCTCATTAGTGACTGAATGAAGTCGCCTACAGGTAACACACTAGCAGCCTTGTGTTAAACGGTGTGCTGAACAACTCTGAATAACAACAGTGTTGGTGGTTATGATTGGATGATTTTTCAACTAAGAAACCACTGTTCCATGTCAGCATGTCAGAACCAGTCTACTCAGTCTGGATGCAGGCAGCTGTTTGGTCCAGACTGTCCAATGTTCTGTTGTTTCGTTAAAGGGGAGAACATCTGATTCTTCTAGAAAGAGAGAGAGAAAGTGTGATGATGTAAACATTAATGACAGCTAGTTTTAGAATGTAAACTAAACTGGACTTGGTTGGAGACTACCAGTTACCTCCACTGACCTCTAGCTGGAGCTCTGACTCTAAAGGCCTTGACTCCCATTAAGTGGAGTACAGTTATTCTACAACAACTTGACCAGCGCCATCAGGAAGAGCTGGAAAGCGTTGCTGGGAAAGGATGGTCTGGAAGGACCTGCTGCCTCCGCAACCCGACCCGGATAAGTGGAAGAAAATGGATGGATGGATGAATGGATGGATGGATTGTTTGATGGATGGATGGATGGATTGTTTCATGGATGGATGGATGGATGGATTGTTTGATGGATGAATGGATGAATGGATGAATTGTTGGATGGATGGATGGATGGATGGATGGATGGATGGATGGATGGATGGATGGATGAATGGATGGATGGATGGATGGATGGATGGATGGATGGATTGTTTGATGGATGAATTGTTGGATGGATGGATGGATGGATGGATGGATGGATGGATGNATGGATTGTTTGATGGATGAATTGTTGGATGGATGGATGGATGGATGGATGGATGGATGGATGGATGGATGGATGGATGGATTGTTTGATGGATGGATGGATGGATTGTTTGATTTGCTCGGTCATGCCATGCGTATGGTGGGAGTAACAAGGCAAATGCCTGCTCCTCAGACAACTGCTAAAGATCAGTGATGCTAAATTTTGTGCATATTTATTATTCTGTTTTCAGTGGCAGGGGTTGAGATGCACAACTTACCATTTATATTTATAATTTATAATATAATTCTACATTAATAATTAATAATAATAATGTAATTGACAGTCATCGGATGTGCTGTATTAACTCAGAGACATCATGCTACAGCCTCCTTTGATGCTTGAAACAAGAAAAGAAAGAAGCAAACACTGGAAATAAGGTTTGGTTGCAAACACAGAAGATTATCACAGTTTTGGATTCTTGCCATTAGATGAACATGACTGATTACAGTACTGATGATGACAACGCTCCGCTTTAGATGGATAGCATGACTTGGTCTCAGTGTTGGTGATCTGGCGTTAAAATGTCTTGCTTCACTTTAGTCACACACCTGTCAGAGTGCTGCGCTGCAGTACCTGAGTCCAGACTTGAGGCTTTCTGAGCCCAGCCTGCATTCAGGCGTTCAGGGAACATCTGGAAACTGCAGTCTGTTCACAAGCAGATGTTTAGTGAGAGTGCTGAGTACAGTTTCATCTGTGTTCTGCCTCCAGGAGATGTGCTGGATTCACTGTATGTGTGATGCAGAGCTCTGTTCATTTAGATGGTAAAGGGCATAGAAAGTTGTTTCCAGGCAGTGTGCCAGTGGTCGGCTGTATGAGACCAACTGTTTGCTCTCCTCACAGTTAAGTGTTGTTTTTTTTAAGGTTTTTATTTTATTTTTTAAATATTGTTTTCTATGCAGCTGCACCTCATTCATCCCAGTTTTATAATGATTATTTCATACCAGTCAGCAGGTGAGCATTCCCGTTTTCATGTCACATTATTGTGAAAAAAGTTGTGATAAGATATGGGTTTTTTTTTTTTACCTCTTATCATGAAATGATTGTGACAGTGTGATTTATTCTCAATAGATAAAGTTTATGTCTTCTCAAAACTTAACTGATGTCACAATAAACATACAACACACATCGCAGTAAAAACCAAAGTGTGTGTTCAGGTTAAACCTAAACTGGAGGTACTGAACAGTAGGATGAAGGGTTTAGTTTCAGTCATTCAACCTTGGTCATTTAACAGGAAACACATATTTGAGGGGATTTCATGCATCAGAATGTCCAGTATTATTCTGTAAATGTCCTTCAGTCACAGAACCGGTTCCACCTGGTCACAGTGGTTACTGATGTGCATGAACAGGAATAAAAAGAGGAATGTGTCTAAAAACAACAATTATTCCAACTGTATGGGCAGCAGTGTACATTGCAGCATGTCTCATTGCCAGTTGTTTGTCAGTGTTGTGCAGCCCTCTGGGACTACATGGGTAACTGAAATCAGCGTTTCATGCCTGAGGTGACTGTGGTCTGTAAAGCAGACCATCAGAATAGTCATTCTCCCTCATGTCCTCCTCCAGCAGGCTAGCTAGCTCCACATACTGTGATCTCACACAGTGATTCCTGATTAAACTGATCAATGCTCAGACTGCTTGTTCTGGTCGGGGTGTCTACAGCTCAGGCGTAGAGTGGACTGGTTGGTAGTCTCTTCACCACAGTGTCTGCCCAGTAACAGGAGCCCCAGGAGTTTAAGTCTGTTCTGACAGAATCCTTCAAAGTTTTTTTTTTATAAAAAAAAGCTTCTAGATGAGAGTTTACCACATCAGTGACATGCTAATGACACGCGTGGCCTCCTGTGGTGGACCATGGCTGTTAACTGGTACGGTTTTGTTGTGTGACTGGTTCCAGGCTACATTGAGGAGGCCTGCATCATCCCCTGCCCGTCTGACTGCAAACTCAGCGAGTGGTCCAACTGGTCGCGTTGCAGCAAGTCGTGTGGCAGCGGCGTCAAGGTTCGCTCCAAGTGGCTCAGAGAGAAGCCCTACAATGGCGGTAGACCATGTCCTAAGCTGGACCACGTCAACCAGGTGAAGCAGGGCTGGCTTTGATCTGTGGGAGTCATGCTTGAAATGTTATTGCTGTCTTTGTAAGTCCACCAATCTGAACCACCTGTTTTCTGTCGTTTCTCTCTTTTCTCTGGTGACTGGACTCCATCCACAGGCTCAGGTAGGTGTCATGCTGCTTCATGTCCTTTATGTCCTTCATAGTTGCTTTGAGACTGAGTCTCCAGTTATTTCTTAAACTGTGTGTTTGTCTCTCAGTGGACTTGTCCTGGAACAAGCCAGACAAATGGCAGCTGATTGAATGTTAGTCTAAAGACTTGTTCTTAGTTCATTGTGAACCTGTGCTGTTGTGGCCCAGACGGGTGACTGTGGCGTTTGTCTGAACCAGGTTTATGAGGTGGTGCCCTGCCTCAGTGACTGTGGACAGTATGTGTGGGTGGCAGAGCCGTGGAGCGTGTGGAAAGTCAGCAATGTGGATCTGAAGGAAAACTGTGGTGAAGGTGTCCAGACTAGAAAAGTCAGGTAAGATGAACTGAACTGCTTTCTTAGTCTGCGTTCTTGTCTGTTCATGTGGCTTCATGGACTTTTAAAAGTTCTTCTACTCTGAGCCAGTTCAGCCCAGAGAGGTGCTCTTGGTCCACAGCTGTTTCTGACTGATGTGAACTTTTGGGCCGACGATACTTCAGCATGCATTTCACACCCACTGTTAGACAGCAGACAGCCAGACTCTCAGGTGTCTCGTCAGTCTTTAACTAATTGTTGGTACTGCCTTCCAGTTTAATGGCTGGAGACTCAGCCACACACACTGAGGTGTTGTTGAGACGACTGACTCTGCTCTAACCGTTCTGTGGCCAGGTGTATGCTCAACACTGTAGACGGGCCCTCTGAGCAGGTAGACGACTACCTGTGTGACCCGGAGGACATGCCCCTGGGTGCTCGCAACAGCCGGCTGCCCTGCCCCGAGGACTGTGTGCTGTCAGACTGGGGAGCCTGGAGCCCTTGTTCACTGGTGAGGCTCTCCTTCACTGCTGCTTTGCGTACATCTTCCACTGTAGCTGGTCTGTTTTATCAGAGTATTTTTTAACGTTTTCCTTTGTTGGATGGTGAACAGCTGAGAGTCTGTTTGTTCAGAGATAAACGGTGCAGCACCACTTCTGCAGTTGGATCTAAAAGTCATTTATTGATTCTCTGTCCTCCTCCTCCAAGAAAACTTCCTTTAATTTGTATTCACTCCTGTTCATGACAGAAGCTGCTCCTCATCATGCAGCTCTCTAAGACAACCCCTCACCGTTGTGTTTTGATCAGAAAGTTCCTTCAATTCCTAAACTGACCAAACGTCACAGCTTCCGTTTAAAAAAGGACGAACTGGAAATGAAGCCTTTGTCAGTCAGAGGCGGCTCAGCCCTGCTGTCCTCTGTGCCCGTCCTGATGT